TTCTATGGCCTATTGATCGGATTTTTTGACGAGTCGCGGCGGTGGTGCTCGCCGCCCGAAAAGGCCACGACGCGACGCCGCGGCTCGACGACGGGGAGAACCCTGCCCGACAGTGCGTTTTCATTTGGCCAATTGAAATTCCTCGCGAGATCGTGCGCCTTCGATTATTAAAATTATTACAATTTCTGCGTCCAAACAACCGGTTACCGCGGCTCGGACCAGTCGCAGGGGAACCACGCTGCAACGTTGTACGCTGCACGCGAAGCTGGAATGATACCCCAACGCGGAGTAATCGAACCTGGGTCACAGTATTTATCTCGACTTATTACTAATTAACGATACCGTTCAATCGTACCTAGTAAAATTAAATCATATCTACTCCGGTGAACTTTAGACTAGCTCGGCTTTTCCAACAGTTTCGGTTGCTACACGATAAATTAATGTTCCTGACGCAACGGATCCATCGAGATTCTAATTCAGACCTGACATCTATTCACTTACTTTGTGCTTAAGAGACGTTATTCTCGTCACTGTAGTAATAAGAAAATAAATTATTCAAACATTTCCCCGTCAAATGTATTCATTAGCATTCTATAAAGCGATATTAATCTTATCCACGATTTTCGGAAAATTCGACATCGTGCAATGGATCAAGTACCGGTTCCAAGAAGTGTCTACTATTTATTTTAATCAAGAAGTACCACTTTACGAGAGGTTCTATTAGCGCTAATGTAGAATTCACATTTGGGAAAGTATCTACTCCTAGATAAATCTTTTGCTATCTATATGAACACGTTAATATAAAACAATTATAATTTGTTAAGTAATTATCGAATGGAAGTGTTTAATAGCGTTAACAACTAGATAACAGTGTAACGTAAGCATTGCGATGCCAAATAATAAGTGACTGTTCCTTGCTACAAGAAAATAAGGTATACACAAAGCTCTGAAATTCGTAGCAGTCAACGTGTTAATCGTCTTGATTCGTCACAACTGTATCGGTACACAAGCGAACATCAATTTATCTAAGAACAACAAAATAAACTGTACGAAAGATGTAAACCCAGCGTGAACCGATTCAACCAGGGTTTCACTTACTCGTAGAGGAAAGGGAGCTAAGATGAGGCGGCAGGCCCGCGTACGGAAGCGTCGTCAAGTAGTTCCGCGACATTGGTAGCCCAGGTGGAAAGAGTTTCGGAACGGTCGCGGCCAACGGTTGCTCCTGTTGGCCGCTGCTTCCTGCCCCGGTCGAATGGGAGTCGCTCCCCGGCGAGGACGAGGACGCCGTGGCTCCCGAAGACGAGGACTTCGGCTTGGTAAGGTTCAGAGGCGCGTCGAGGTCCTGAAGGGGCGGCGCGGTGGGCGCGACCGCGGACGAGATTGGCGTCGGCGACGGTTCCTTCTCCATCTGCGTGGTCATCTGCGCCAGATGCGCCGTCGCCCAGCTCGGACCTTCCCGGTGGCTGCTGATCATCTGTAACATCGCCGTCGTACGTGTATTTTTCGCGGCCGTCATCTTCGCCCGTTATTTTCGAGCGGCCGTGAATTACGCGTGGGACAAATTGCCACGGTGACATCGCGCTATCAAAACCTTGCTGCCCGGGGAATTACACGCTGATCATAGTTATTTTCGGGAGGCGCTCTGATCGAGATTAAGAGATCAGGTTGATCGCGGCGGGCCACTGTTTCGGTATTCGTAGGAATAATAGCCGCGGCACGCTTGGCCAACGAATAGGAGAGACATGATCGATCGGAAGGGGATGAATCAGAAACTGAAAGGAAGATTTTGGACAGTTAATATGCATCGAGGATTGATTCTAATTGGTTGCTTGAAATGTTTCCTCGAAGAAACTGAATTTCAATCGTCCTCGTTTATTTTCGATTTTTCCTTCGTTTGATTGGACTCGCGCGTTAATGTTTCACGTCCTCGTTACCGAACGTTAATCGAAGTTCACCGATTCCGAAAGGGGGGCAAAGCGAGATGGAAGAATTGGGATTGCGGTGATTTACGTACGTTAGCGATCGAATTGATATGTTTGTTAGTGGTGGCGGTCGACGTGGCCGGCGGTGGCGGCATAGGCGATTGCACGGCCACCCCTCTGAGCTGTTCGAGAAACGGCAGGAACATCAAGGATTGCGGCCCCGACATGCTCAGCTGGCTCTTTGTCATCTGCGCCTGTAGCTCCTGGATGTTGTGCTGCATGATGTGCTCTTGCTGCCGCTTCAAGTGCTCCGTTTGCAGCCGCTGCATCTCGATCTGCTTCTGCGAGTCGACGGTCATGTGCGCAGGATACGACTGCAAAACCGCGTACCAGCAATTAGAGAGGCAGAGGTGAATCGTCGCCGTCGAGTAGAAAGGAACGGATTTTTTATTCCGCCGCGGCGGCAGCCGGCGAAACGTCGACGTTTCGTCTCTATTCAACCATAATTTCACACGCGGAGCCCGCGATTCGAGAATAAATTAGAATTAATGAACCCTCCGGCGTCCGCGATCTGAAAGAGTTAAACGCTCGCGAGTGTTTAACGAAACCCCACGGACCCTGCCGCTCACGAGATTAATAACAACATTCTCCGTTTGTCCATTGAAAAATTATACGCGACGATCACGCGACGATACACCGGCGGAGGATCGGTATCGCGTGGTTCACTTACGGACGCGTTAAACGCTGTCCCGCTAGTGGGACTTAATGCAATAATTATTTACTTCTCGCCGGAGGTAACGCTGAAAAATAGATTTTCACGAGTTGCCAGCCCTTCCCTCGCCGCCCCCGACCGTCGCGGAACCAGTTTTGAATTATAGTTCCCAAGAAAGTGTAATAAAATGTGAATGAGCCGCGGCATTAACTTTAATTGCCGGTTTTAACGCGTCGGGCGGAAGTCATTGCGGCACGGGAAAGTGAGAGACACAAAAACGACTGTTATTGCCATAAAGTGATAACGACAGTCTGAAAGAACCCTCAGCTCTAATCACTGTTGCAATAATTATAGCGCCTGCCGGCCGATACCGGCCGCGATACCATCGATGCTTCCAGCCGGTATCGCCCGAACGCCCGGTGATTATTCAGCGCGAGCATTTCTTTCCTGAAATCGTCGCTGGTGCGGTGCTTCGCTCGCCGTCCGCGCAACACAGATAGTGCGGAACGACGCGTGTTGCTCGCGCTTATGCGAATTCCGCGTGATTCGCGTGCCTGAGCACATTAATTTTCTTATTAACCGAGTACCCACGCTCGCCGGCGATCGTACCGCTGCAATCGTTGAAATCGTTGTTCCAACGATTTGCATTTAATGCGCGTAAAAACGGACTGCGCGCCGGCGAACGTGATCTCCGCGATTCCCTGCAACATGCTTGTCGTATCGGTAACATCAGCGAAAATGGAATTAACAATTGCCGAAGTATCCGGAACAGCAGCATTTAACTGATTCGCTTAATTAGAAGGAAAACTGACAAGTGACTCAATCTAATCAATTCTTCTCTCGTTAAGCTTGATCCACGATAATTTCCGAAGTATCCGATCTATCAACAGCTGCGTATTAGTAACAATTCTGCCAGATGCTGCGGTGATGCCCGCGACTCAGCCGAATTTCTCGTTGACAGTGAAACGAAAATGTGCCCGTGGATCCTCTTCACAGAAAATTAGGCCGTAAACGCACGCCCCACCAGTCAGAGGGGGAGGACTCGTGTCTTGTTCGGCTAGCGAAACTTCTTTTCCAGAGTCGGCCCATTAGTCAGAGTAAGTAGCCGTGCTACTAATTTAAGGGGACAGGTTTTCAACGCGGCTCGCTTCTAGGATAGTGTAACAATTCAACACGGCTAATATCATTGTACTTCCCTACGACCTGGCTGCGGTCCAGATATGCTTGAAGTTTAAAATCTATTTTAGACGATAAGGAAGACGTTTATTCATCCAGGCTGGGCACCAGCTGAAACGTCACGCGCACACGCGCGCCGCCGTCCCTCTTCCCTTGCCCGGGCTTTTCCGCGCGCGATTATTAATCCCCGATCCTCGATGGAAGATCGCGACGCGTGATTTACGATCCACGCGGCTTCCTCTAATAACGGGCCCACCGCAAGAACAGAACGAACAAGTGGAGCGCGGCTCGCTGTTTGCTCGCCCGCTGAAAGGAGGGTAGCTTTCATCTCCGTTTGCCCCTTTTCTCGAAGATTTTTAATTAGCGGGCAAGAGGCGAGGAGGCTCGGCCGAAACCGCAGCCTATGACTCAATAGGAACACGCGATTGTCTCGTGTAGCTTATTAATTACTGTGAAACATGATCGAATACCTTGGAACATTCAAAGGGAGTCGCTCGTGTTCTCAAGAACGGCGTTGAAGAATTGTTTTCCAGCTTAATGAGGATATTGTGCTAGCGAAAACCGAATCAGATACAAATGATAATTTATGTAGATCAGTCGGTCGGTCTCTTCAGGGTTAAGGGAGGATATCGTCAGGTTCCGATGTAAATGAGCCTCGTTAGGTCGGGTCGGGGTAAACAGAGTCAAGTACAATACCATTATCCGGATAAATGAAAAAAGAACAGTGTTTCAATATTCATCGCCGAAAGAAAAAGAAATCGCGCGTGTCGCGTTCACTCGGTTCGCAACGCGTTATCGCATCTCCCGCGTACGAACACAGTGAGCTCGGTGTGTTGATCACGCCCTCCAGTCGAAGGAAAGCACGCGTCGCCGCGAAACGAATTAATCGATATCCTTCGATTAAAGCGGCATTGTTCGGCCGACATTTCCTTCACGCCTTCGGCTCCGCGGTATATCGGTATCAGATCGGCACGCATATTAAAGAGTCTCTGTATGGAAATCTACTCGTTAGCGTTAATTATTCTCGCCGGGTTCTCTAATTGCCGCGATTCTTGGTCGTTCCGCGCGCCGCGGGACAAGAACACGCGATAACTTTGTAAAGGATCGCGGCGTAGAGAACCAGGTAATTAATTATCCCCATTCCC